GTTGTTGAGGCCCCATCCCTGGAGGTGTTCAACGCCAGGCTGGACGTGGCCTTGGGCAACCTGGTCTAGTCGGAGGTGTCCCTGCCCATGGCAGGGAGGTTGGAATTCGATGATCTTCAAGGTCCTTTCCAACCTCAAACCATTCTATGATTCTATGAAATCTGTCATTAGCTGCAATCCATCTGGTACTGTCAGGAGTGGCGTTTCTTAGGTCTGTTAAGAGTAGGGTGAACCTACGAAAGTTGTTGGACTTGGTGTATCCTCTGTGGCAAATAGCACAATATTCATTAGCTTTGCAAATCTGTTGTATTAGTGATAGCCCTATTCATTGCAAGTCTTTGAGCAATATATAATATTATAGTATAGTATAATAGTATAATAAAATGTATGCTAGTACTCGCACTGTTTTGATGCTTAAATGCTGAAATGCCTCTTGTGTTCTAAGCTGCATACAGGAATCCAAATTCTGTAATGTCTTTAAAGGACATTGGTTTTTAATATCAGTTAAGTTCGCAAATGTCTCTGAAGTAGACAAATAAGTTACAGAGAATGTTTTAAAATCCCAAGCACTAAACTGTTAAAAAACATTACTTGCACAGCAATTATTGAAGGTGAAATGAACTGGAGGATCTCTAGGCCTGCAGCTGCATAGTGAGATGCTAGCCACTGTCTTCTGCTTTCTTCAGGTGTAGAGCTCTGACACAGTTTGGCTTGCCAGTCAACTTGAATTCGTGTTTGATCCCTGATTGCAAGAGGCAGTCCTGTATTAATTCGCTTCAATCCTGCTGTAATTTGTGGCAAGACATTTTTCATGTTATTGGTGGAAATGCAATATAATATCAGGTGAATGTGTTATGTGCTCAGTTCAAATAGAGTCTAATCTTATGTAGCTTGCAGGCAGTTATATAAAATATTCAGTTGTCATGTATAAATGAAATTACTGTTCCTTCCCTTTAAGGAGAGTAATGGTCCAACAAACTCCTATGTTGCCATATCCCAAGTAGATCGACTGCAGTCAGAACCGGAAAGTATTCGTAAGTGGAGAGAGGAGCAAAAGGAGCGCCTGGAGCAACTTGGTAAGGAGGATGTTTGTTGCAGTCGTGTTCTTGGTTGTGAGTAACTTAGTGGCAGCTTCTTAAGCAGCAGAATTCTCAACCATGGCATCTGGCTTCTGGGAATCTAACATGCTTCTTGAGTTTGAGCAGCAAGTCTGGAAGAGTCTTCTAGTAATCAGACTTAATGCTGCTGTTGGAGTCAGCAAGCAAGTGGTTCTTTGAACTTTATGAGTATTCATGTGTCCTGCCCTTTACTTACAAATAAGCTGACAGGTTTTATCAACAGAACAGCTTGTATCAGCAGAAAAGAGTGAATAAATACTGCAGTTATCAGCATTTATTTCAAAGGATAAAGATGGCTCATTATGTAGTTGCTGAGGCCATCCGTTGTCTAATAGTTAAGTAATGGACTAATAACTAAACTAAATACAGCTATCAAATGCAGTAATACCTACCTGTGGACAGCTTCTAAGAACCTACAAACTCGTATGATTTCCATTTACATTAGCTTGAAATTGTTAGGACAGAACCTTCTGTACAGTGTGATTCTGGATAGAGCTGAGCCTGTTGCTCCTCTTATGGGCTAGTTACAGCAGATGAGCTTGTCCTGAATTGTAGGCTAGGTGTAAAATCATGCTGAGTGCCAGGCTCCCTTGCTTTGTTTAAGCACAGAGGCTTTACTGAGCTTTGTTCTAGCACTAGCATAGCAAGGTGGCTGTTTCTGTTTTTGAACAGTTTGCAGGCCAACAGACTTACTGAATCTGAATTAGTCTACAAGTGCCTATCCTAAACTGAAGTTATGCAGTTATGCAGTGCAGGCATTCTATTTAGCTAATCCTCTGAATGTTCATGGTATTTAGAGTTCTCATGGCCTAAATCAGGAAATCTCCTAACCTTTATCTGAGTAGATCAAGCAACTGTCTGCACTAGAGTGCACCCTAAGCTATCAGCTGAAATGATAGCAATATTCAGCTGGAACAAACATGACTGACAAATCAATTCTTAAATCTTCAGATGCGAATTCACAGAAGCAGGAAGCAGAATGGAAAGAGAAAGCAATAAAGGAGTTGGAGGAGTGGTATGCAAGGCAAGATGAAAAGCTCCAGAAAACAAAAGCCAGCAACAGGTAAGGTTTCTCCAGCTGTCTGAAGACTTATGGTACTGGATATGAAAGTAATGGGGCAGGGAGGTTAGGATACTTGTAGTATGTCCTAAGGCACTAGTCCTTCAGATCTTTAAAGTAACCTGTCCTATTAAGAAATGGGTCTCCAGTGGTAAACTGTCATTTTAAATTTTCTTAGAATCTAGATTAAATGTCCAAGAATAGCAAGAGAAAGCATTATGATAATGAACTGGAATTACTGACGATTCTGTAAGACACAAAGTTAGAACATGGGCAGAAAGAGCTTTAGTCTACCCACTTGTTGCGTGATCTCAGCTGCACAGGTCTTCAGTGACTGTAATTATGTACTTAGCAAGTAAGATTCCTAGTCTCTATCTTTAGAACACATGGGAGTGGTCTTCTAGTTAGTCTTTGCTACAGGTTATTTCATTAGATACCTTAAATGCTTTGGCCACTCCTTTTGGAAGTGTTTGAGAAATAACCTACCTCAGTTCTGCTAGTGAAGAACTAAATGCTGACTGTGTTGGGTTTGAATTGTCTGATTATGGGCTCTAGGGCAGAAACTAATGACTTGACTGCTAGTCTAGTAAGCTCTTACACTTTCTTAGAGGTTCCCTGTGAAATTTTGACTTCAAGCTACGTAAAAGTAAATGTGATAGTACTGATTTAATACCACTTAGATCTCTACTTCTGACCCAGGGGTTGCCAGCATCATTCTGTCCAGGTAATCAGGGTTGCTTTATACTTTGGGAACCTACAGACTTCAAGATGAACTGTTATGGTTTTTGTTTTGTTTTGGTTTTTTTTTTTGAAACACCTTTTTTCTTATCTAAATGGCCAGCAGGTTTGTCTTGAGTAAGTAAAGTCCTAGGTAGACTCTACTTCTTACTAAAGGAAGAAGGGAGGCCTACACTTCCTCCAGAATTATGGATTTGACAATTCCATTCAGTGAAGTACAGTCTTTTTGTTGGGTCAAGAAAGGGAAATGTGATTGGCACACTTCTAGTTGGTGGCCAGACCTCATGATACTCCCACAGCTTTACTGTGGCCAGTGTTTGAGCCACAGGTGTTGCACAAAAGGAGTGTTTGGCATTCCGTCATCAGCCTGGTGAGATTTCTCTCCTAATAGTAGTTTCTGTCCACTGGAAGTAGCCTAATACTAACATTGGGCTCTAGTTCTAAACTAGCTAGTCCCAACTTCTAGGATGTAGCAGAGCTTTTGTGTGCTCCTCTGAGTCAATGGCTTTATTGATACATTCCATGTGGTAGCTGCTTTCCTGTTAACGGTAAGTCTAGGTGATACAAGGTTAATGTGCTTGTTAAAATTGCCTTCAGCTGTGTTCTGTACTTCTCATCCTTATCTCTTTTCTCCTGCCTGCTTGCCTGCCTGTTGGACTACTTGCTACCTAGGGTGGCAGATGAAGCTTTCTACAAACAACCCTTCGCTGACGTGATTGGTTATGTGTATGTTGCTTAACTACTAATTCTGTTTGCTAGTCAACTAGGTAATAAGGAGGGTCGGAAATAGTGTTGAACATCTGAAGATGACTGCTGAATATTTCAGGGCAGTACAAGTAAACAGTCTTTACTCTTTGGACAGACTTTGACCTGCAGTCAAAGTGCAGTCTTCCTGTAAGGATCCTGTACACTGCACAACATCCAGCACTTTCAGGTTAAGTCATGTAGTGTACATACCACTGGAAATTTGGTAATGACTTCAGTAGTCTTTAGATGTAGGGATTTACAGTTGTTCCCAGGCCAATGAACACTGCTTAGCAAGATGCTTTGCTGTATATGTGGTATGGGTATGCTGGGTATGCATCTCCAGTCTCGCATGGGTGCTGTATTTAGTCCTAGTTACTTCCACAGAGAAGCACAATGTTTAGCTCTGCATTCTCTGTAATAGGCATTGAGCTCCTGATCTGTGCTCATTTCTCTACGTAATCAGAAAAATATTCAAGCAATGCTTGCACATAAAACTCAGCAAGCAAAGGAAGGTAGAAAGAAATCACCTGCCATAAACCAGGGTAGAAGAGATGTGTGCATATAGAAATAGGATGCTATTAGAGAACAGATAAAAAGTACAAGAAGGTGATATTGGAAAATAGGCATTAGCTGCTGGAAGAACATTTAGGAGGGCTCTGTGTAGACATTTTGCCAGTCTGATCAATGAAAATACAGCTGTGACTTTCAAGCCCCAGTGAGTTTGCTAGTTTCTGTGGGGTGGAAAGATTGCAATGTTCGTTGGCTTGTTTATGTATTTTAATTTCTTCCCTTAATTTGTAGACTTGAAAGATGGCCATGTCACAGATTCTAAGGTGACACCCTTACAAGGTGTATTGGTGAGCCATGGTGTGGCTTTGAGTGCATTAATATTGAAGGTCCAGTGTGGAATTCATTACCTAACTGTAGGTGGATGTAAACCAAGACTTGTGAAATGATGGATTTACAGGTGGTGTTTGACTTTTCCGAAGTCTCCTGGAGTTTATTTTGATAGATTTTTTTTCAATAAAACCTTATTTTCTTATATCCAATGCAACTATGCAGTATAAGTGCTGCAGAACAAAATCGGCAGCCTGTTTGCTGAATGTAGGCTAAGCTACTAGTACATGTTTCAGCCAGCTGATCATCTGCATTAAACTCATTCTCATTTTCTATATCTGACTTAAACTTTATCTCCTTGTTTCTTTTCTTCTCTTCACCTTTAAGCACAAACATAAATCATCCTTGCTACAGCCTAGAACAGTTAAGTAAAAAAATCTTCACTGCCCCTTAAAAGTGTCATGTCATGTAAAGTAGCAGTGTTGTAGTGACCCTTGTCTTCAGTGGTGTCTGTAACCTTATCATTCCTGTGAACAGTGCTGAACCCTCATGGGAGAGTCATCTTCACTGCTTTTTCTATACTATTTGTTGGAGTAGATGGATTTGGTTTGATCTCTTGATGCTTACTGCTCTTGCACTCAGGCAGCTACCAGGGGCCTCACAGTTCATGTAAACTAGATGCTGGAGTGTTATCCTTGCTTTGAAGCAATGTTGTTGGCAGCATAGCAATGCCAAAAGGATACTGCTGGGAAGTCACTGGCCCTAAGCTGTACATAATGTACAAAGCCTCCTTTAGAGTCACCTTAGGATGAGAGCAGGGGAAATGTGTTTATCCTGTGAGCTGACCTCAAACAAGTCATCCCCTCTGCCAAGATATGCTTTAGTCTATACCACCTACAAGCATGGGATTCATGACTTAAATTGCTTTTGATTCATGCTGTTTCATTACAGCATTGGGAATCATCAGCAGATAGTTTTATGATGGCCTGTAGGCCTTGGGGCTGATTTAAATTCTCAAGTGTAATCTGTTTTAAGACATGCTTGCAGGGAGTTGTAAATTTCTGGTTGGCAAGTGTTCAATATAAGCCATCAAGTGGCAGAGACTAAACTAGTTAAGGCTTGGGCATTTCTCCATAAATAAAATGCCTACATAGGAGTACCTTACTTATTGGCAGTTTGTGTGGTGACTTCTTAGACAAAGACTCAATAACTATTCTTAAAACCAAACACCTGTATTCCAACATTTTACACAGCAATCCTCTGCACTGCTTGTGCATAGCATACTAGTGCAACCTACTTTCATCTCCAGGTTTGGGGCAGTGGGAGCTTAGGTAGCCATGATGTTCACAAGCAGCTGTCGGGTCACATTTCTTATGAAACATACTGAAAGAAACTGCATCCTGTAGGAGGGAAGGAGTGCCTTATGTGTTGGGCATTAACGCAAGGTGCATTGCATTGCTTTTAGGGCAGCTGAAGAAGCCTTTGTGAATGATGCAGAAGACGTTTTTCCGGGCACTGAGTGGGAACGTGTGGCTCAGCTCTGTGACTTTAATCCCAAGTCTAGTAAGCAGGCAAAAGATGTGTCCCGCATGCGTTCAGTCCTCATCTCACTCAAGCAGGCTCCACTGGTTCGCTGAAGGAAAGCACAATGAAAACACTACAAATGCAATATCTTAACCTTACTCAGAGAAGCTGTGTTTGCAGTAATTGGATTAATTGTTTCAATGTTTTTTCTGGACCAAACCTCATGATGTATCTAGAGCTGATCATTGTTTGATTGCATGTTCTTACTCATGTTTCCTTTCTGTGTCTGAAATGGGAGAACCTCCAAAACTGTAGTCTCTGTGCTGTTGTGCACTGAGATGTCACTTCCCACATTACTGATAATAAAGGTCTGTTAAACAGCAAAATGTGTTGACTTTGGATGAATTAAGAAGGTCTCCTGTTCCCTTTTGACAGACAGTGTTTGAATTGAGTGTGAGAAAATGTTTCTCTTTATTGCTAGTGATATCACCTTGCTGGTGACTGACCAGCCAGCAATGATTCTGGTCTTTAAGAGGCTGTCCTGCTTATCTATAATCTTAAAGCTCTTGAGAGCTTTAGTTTAATAACTGCTTCTCTATACAATTTATAACACGAGATAGAAGCTCTAGGAAACTGGAGTAGCAGGCTTGTTAAGGAGCTTATCTCACTTCTAGTGGAATTGAGGACACTGCCTTCTGCAAGTAATCAGTTTTGTGTAGTTTTTGGCTGTCACTGCATATGCAGATCTTAGGGTAGAAATACAGTACAAGGGCACTGAGTAGTTAAAGCCCTTGATGTTCTGCTGCATAATCCATTCTGCCATGTATTTAACGCTGGCTTTATATGCAAAGTCCTGCTGTGCAGAGGCTGTTCAGGTGTTTTTGAACTGTGTCCTCGTCCTTACTGACTCTTGCAGACACTTTTCTCCCACCAGGGTGGTGAACTGGAGATTTGGAGAGCAAGAGAAGGGAAGACTTGCTCTTACTGCTGCTCATCTACTGGGTTGGAGCTTTATCTGCCAAGGTGGTTGAATTTGAAACAAACTGATCCAGAAAGTTTCTGTTGTGCTGCTTCCTTGGCTCTGTAATCTCATTCAGCATTCACAGAGGCTGTATTGTAGCCTTGCTCTGGTAAGACCTACCTTAGCTGTCTATCTTTTAAGAATAGTCTGTTCAGTCTCATATATTATTTTACCATTTTTATCAAAGATACAGTAGCTTAACTAGTGTGTAGCAGAATTGCTGTAACACCTTTTTTGTACAAGATGGAAGATTAGTCTAGGCAGTTTGAAGAAGGTTGGAGATGCAGATGAAAACTTAGTAAGGTTCAGGGAGTTGCTGCACAGCAGCTGTCTTACTAGTGGCTGTGTCCCATCAGTGAGTAAGAAGATATTGAATAAATGGTTGCCAGTTGGGCTTCAATAGTTAAGCTGTACCTTAGTGTTGTCTATAGTGACTGGAGCTATTCTATGTTTGCAAGTGTATTCACACACTACTGATGAGTGGTGATGAAAATGACAGTAGACTACAGGTCTGGAAGCTTAATTCCATGGAAGATTAAAGCAAGAAAATATTTTCTGAACTGCACAGGGATACCACAGGTGAGTTTAATAGGACTGAAGCACCGAGCAAGTCCATAGAATACTGATACTCAATGTTAGCCCTGACCAGTTATGCATTCACCTTGACTGAAAACTTCCTTTCTTCTACTCACCCCAGAGCTCTACAAAGTCTTCTAAAATGAATTGGTAATTTAATACAACAAATTGCACTGCATTAAATATATAATGTTTAAAATGCTAATTTGAATTTACTGTAATTTGAAAGTTCAGCAGATTAGAGGGGTTCCTGCACAGAGTTATGGAACAGATTGATCACCACATTGTCCTGTCTCATAGCATTAAGGGCATGATTTCGAGCTACAATCCAAGAAAATGGGCAAAGACTCAAATTCAAGGCCAAAGCAATACTACAGAAGTTAAAACAGTGTTTTATAAGATGGATTTGCAGGGGCTAACAACATGTCTTCAGTTTTTTTGTGTACACGTCTAGCTGGAACACTTAACAAGCAGCTCTGTGGGTTTTTGTTACCTCCTCTAGCTCTTGTGCTGAGATTTTGTAGATTCTGTCTTTTGTCTTAATTTTATATTCAAGTATGCTAACTCAGTCTCCCTCCTACCTCCTGTATGAGTGCTGTCACAGAATCGCAGTCTGGCTGAGGTTGGGAGGGACCTCTGGAGGTCATCTGGTCCAACTTCCCTGCATGGAACAGGTTTGCTCTGTGGAGAAGTTACTGCCAAGGCATACTCAAGGAATAATTCAGGCTTTTAAACATACGAGTCTGACATCATTTTAGAGACATTTAAGCATCCCTTATGGCTTTCAGCTGCCAGTACGTGACCTGTAGGATCTTTTGCATGTCTTCAATACTTGACAATGTCTGTCACAGAATCATAGAATGGCTGAGATTGGAAGCAATGCCTGGAGGTCATCTGGTCCAACCCCCCTGCTCAAGCAGGGCCACCTAAAACTGGTTGCCCAGGGCCATGTCCAGATGGCTTTCAAGTATCTCCAAGGAGGGAGACTGTACAATGTTTCTGAGCAACCCGTGCCAGTGCTTGGTCACCCTCACAGTGAAAAAGTGTTTCCTGATGTTCTGGAGGAACTTACTGTGTTTCAATTTGTGTCCATTGCCTCTTGTCCTGGCACCACTGAAAAGAGTCTGGCTCTGTCCTCTTTGCACCCTACTTCCAGGTGTTCGTACATATTTGAGATCCCCCCCTGGGCTTTTTCTTCTCCAGGCTGAATGGTCCCAACTTGCTCAGTCTTTCCTCATAGGAGAGATGTGTTAGTTGCTTAATTGTCTTTGTGGCTGGACTCTCTCCAGTATGTCCATGTGTCTCGTACTGGCAAGCCCAGAACTGGACCGAGCACTCCGGATCTGGCCTCACCAGCGCTATACTCGGACTTTTTTGTGTCTGAGAATTATTTTAGATATTTAGAGCTTGTGACATGCCTAACAGTTTTAAGTAGCCACAAATTAACATGCTATGGCATCTTGCTGATGTTTTTTTTCTGTGCAGGTGGTAAAGAGGGAAATGTATAGTTTACTAGCTAGTATTTTAGACTGGACAAGAGGTGGGTGTCTGTTGTCTTTGCCAAAGAGGGTTCCTCCAGTAGGAATTCTCTCTGTCACATGGGCAAGCTTGTTCCTCTGCAGAATGCTGTGCTGCAGCAGCACACTGTGGCACTGGGTAGTAGTGTGCCTGGGGCTGCACCAGATCTGCAGGATCCTGAGATGTTATGAGGTTACTTACAACCCAAGCCTTTGTGGTCTGACCTTGAAGGGGATGGTCCATTTAAGTGTTCTAGTATGTTCTAGTCCAAGAGAGGGTGGGCTACTCAACACTGTTCAACAAGGTAAGGTTTCATTAGGTCTTGCATCACTAATGCAAGTTTCACTAACAATTATGTACAATTAGTATTCCAGTGCTTTTGGCTACAGTTTCAAGCACATATTTAATCTCTTGCTTCATGTGGCTGTTTACTGGTCATAGTTGGTTACCATCTGCAGAAATTTTACCCAGCTCAAGGTATGAGGTATGCATGAAGTAACATCGTACTAGCTTTTTAAAAAAAAGCTATAGCCATACTTATCACAAGGTTGTGAAGTTGAAATTAAAAATAAAGGAACCTTTGGAAAAAAATTACATTTCTTAAAAAAATTACCTTACGTATAGTCTTCACACACTTTCTAATTAAGTACAAATTTGGCTCTTTATTTGCATTTAAAATTTCTGTGTAATGTGCTTCATGCAAAAGAAGCTGGAAGACCTAGTATTCAGAACACCTGCAGATACAGAGTTACAGCAATGATGGTGTAATTATACAAGCAAGACAAAAGTTGTGTGAAGGTATCTCATCTCATTTTAGACTAATGGAGAAAAATGTGTGCTTTCAAGCATGGAAAACTTTCTTCAGCTGGCAGTCACAGCTTAACAGTAATTTGTGATTTGTTAAGAATAAAACTGGTATCTGTGTGAGGTCAGAAGGAGGGTTGCGAACTCAAAAGCTTCCCTCAATTATGACAGCAGCAGAAAGAACTTGATGTATTACCTGCCTTCTCATTGCCTTGCCCATTCTGAAAAAGCAGTTGTCTGATTTTATGCCAAACTGCAATGTACAAGCAGTGAGTGGTTTGGGCACTACAGCAAGGAATATGGTTTGATCTTGGTTTGTGTGAACATGCCAAATGAACCAACCCAGACGCATGACAACTGTATGTGCAAACTTAAGCAAGACCTAAGAAAAACTTGGCTTTGTGTGTCCTCAGAATCTCATGAGCATTTTTAGTTGTTACTAAAACATACCACATGCTCACAGTGCAAAGCATTTGCTTTCAGATTATGAAGCAAACATAGCTTGGTGCCAGACTAAAACAACTGTACTAAATACATGGCTTTAGCACCACCGCTTGAGCTGCCAAAGCACTAGTTCTAATGTGCCTTTGATAAATCATAAACACAATTATCTGGAATGGTCCAAGGGGTGTACAGTCGAGGTGTTTTACCCTTACTAATGCTTGTTAACTCTCCACAGGATTTGAAAGGAACAGACTACTCAGATTTCATTGATGCAGATTGAATCAGAGTGTAAACTCCATCTGCACCTTACTGTCTATGATGTGTTTTTGGGATACAAAACTGATACTGCCTCCAGGTGTAGCATGCCTGAGTTTCTGACAATTTTGATACACTTAAATGGAGGAAGAACAGTGCTTCAAGACCACCAGAAGGCTGAGGCATTTGTTAATTCTGTGTAGGTGGCAAATCAGAGTCAAAATACTGAATAATTATCTTGCTGCACAGGAGAAAAAAAGAAATTCCAAACCTTAACGCTGTACTGATTAGCTATGTGGCTTGCAAAGCATCGACAATGATCTGTAAGAAGATAGCTTGCTTCCTCATGGTCCCAAGTCCTAGCTGGGTGGGCATCTATGTTTAGGCAGAGCAGCCAAGGATGAAGCAGACTTCTTCCACAAGATGCAAGGATGAGGAGCAATGTGGTAGAGGGCTGTCGTGGTTTGGTCCGAGCCAGCAACAAAGAACCACGCAGTCACTCACGCAACTCCCACAGCTGTGGAAAAAGAAATCGACACGGCAACACTCGTGGGTTAAAATAGTGCAATTTAATAGAACAGCAAAATGGAAGATGAAAGCAAACCAATAACACCGATAAAGGGGTATAAAGACGCAATTACAGTACCGCTGCGAAGCGCACCGACCGGACCCGCACTGCTGCAGCCCACCCCCCGACTGGCAACTCCTCTCCTGGCCCTGGCTAGCTCCTCTTCTAGCCCGGGCATGGGTCACGTGGTATGGAATACC